AGCTGATCATTCACCAGCCCCTCCGTGTCTTGGTGATTGGCGACTCGGCCTGGATTTGAATCGTGCAGACCTCAGGGCTGGTTGGCAGGAGCAAATCTCTTGGTTCCTAGTGAGCTATCTGCCTGTGCAGAGTCCCTATATGACAGCATCATTGCCTGTCAGTCCTCACAAACAGGGTCTCTTATTACAGTTCTAACAGAGCCCTTACACGTCCCCCATCTTGCAAAGGCCCCAGGGCTAGGCCCCGGTTCCCGGTTGGCTTTTAAAACCCAGCCAGCTGATGACGGATGTTTGCACACATTCCTAGATTTCCCGGCCTTCCTCCTCTTTGGGCCCCTGGCGATGTCCCTTCTCATCATCCCAGACGTACAGCTGAGAGGAGATTGGTACATTCTACCCAACATCTGTGGGCTAGTGATCAAAGGAGACCTTTTAGGTGGTATATTCTCCTCTCTCTTCCCACTGAGAGATGACCGTAACCCAGCACTATACCTGGTAGGACAAATACATGTCAAGTCTTTCTCGGCTCCAGGGTCTGACCACAGTGTCCCTGTTTATACTAGGAAGAGAAGACAAGGAGTACGTGCCCTTGGAGGCCGGACCTGTGTCTAAGTTGCGTGATTCTTATAAAGCACCGTGCCCACTTCCTGGAGCAGAGGGACGGTGGTCACTGAGCATGCTAAGGAGACGTAGTGAGCCACCAGCAGATCTGCGTATTTGTTGACAGCCTCCTGTGAGCTGGCACTGAGCTAGTCTCTGGGACTACGAAGATCATCGGACCCTGGGCCTGGTTGTGTATTCATGTGGCTGTGAATTAAATGCCCCCTAGTAACGCAGAGACAGGGACAGGTCTCGGTCCGGGAAGCCATATGGGATTTCCCAGGGGAGGTTGTATGTAAGAAACGCTTCCTGCTCGATCCATCTCAGGGTATCTGTTTCCATTTTACGTTTTGCAAGAAGACGGTCGCAAACCCACAAGGGTGAGCTCCCGGGCCCCTCCACCCCGAGGAGTGAGCCCTGAAGACTGTCGGGACCTCCTCTCCTCCTTCCTCAGGTGACGCTGTGCTGCAGGCAGCTGCCGACAGAGGGGAGCGTGGTGCCGCCTCCTCCAGGAAGTCGGCCTCTGGCAGCGCGGCCGCCAAGCCCGGGGACCAAGGGCAGCTCCAGTCTGGGAGCTTGCTGGGGGAAAACTTGGACCCGCAACTGAGAAAAACAGAAGCAAAATTGGGGTGGCGGGGGGGGGGCGGGGTCCAGGGGAATTGAGATGATATTTGTATGACCCTATCTTACTTCATTATTAATGCCCCTGAGCCTAAGCCTTCTTATAGAGGTGCCAAAGGCATCTCCCTCATCCTGCATTCCCAGGAGATTGAAAAACTAATGAAATCATCCAACCACGGGAGCCCAGTCGGGTAGAAAGAACATCAGATCAGGCATCGAGAGATCTGGGCTCCGTTCCCGGGCCTGCCACGAACGGGCCTTGCCAACAAGGCCTATCACTTTCTAAGGCTCCCGTCAGGGCCGTAACATGGGAATTCTGTGCTCCGTGGTCTTCAGGGCTTCAGTCAGCCTTAGGATGTCATGTATCTATGGTCCTTAAAAAACAAAAAAAGCAAGTAGCGTTCTGGTCATCAAGAGTCCCTAAGGGGCCTCAAAGGTCTCCCAGGTTCTGGCGCTGAGACTCCGAGGGGGCTGCGCAGTGGAACCCGGGCCGTTGGCACGGTCACAGGTCCACGCACGGAAGGAGAACGCGCACGAGGTCCCACTCGCTGGACAGCAGCGAGGGCCACTGTCTCTGTGGCTAACTCCCAGGACAGCCTTCAACAGCTTCTCACCAGATGACGTAACATAAGGGACTGTCTGGACTTCGGAGAAGTGTCCAAAGTAGTGCAGGTGGGATAGTCCTCCACTCACACCTGCCTCGTACCTCATCCCCCGGAACAGAATTAGCACGGAGAGGCTGGTGAGAAAAGCCTCCCAGTGACAACTAAAATCGGCGCCGTTGAGCTCATCGGCCGCAGGAGAAAGACCCTGACTCAGGCTCAGCTACTCGCTTGAAGCAGGATTCTGAGAAAGAAGCTGGAGTCAGGCGGAGAGGGTGAGGGGGGGTGTGTGTGTGTGTGTGTGTGTGTGTGTGTGTGTTCATGTCAATGACTTTGTATTCTATACATTATTAAAAGTCAGGGAAATAGACGTTTTAGAAAGGTTCTTTTTTTTTTCCCTTTGGTCAGCCATGGATCAAATGAAAAAGTGGCTTGTGCAGGAATAAGGTTCAGGTATTTGGGGAGCACACTTCCCTGCCTGCCGTGAGGGCTGACGGGGGCGTGCCTGTGGGCAGTGGTCACTGACGGTCACATGCAGAGACCACGCCTCAGATGCACCCTTGGGAACGCTTCTCTCGGGAAGGAGTGGCGTCCCTGGTCTGACACTTTTCGGTTCCTGAGATTAGATCTCCTTGTCTCCATCCAGCCTTCGGATGCTTAAAAACCTTGGGATCAATTAGTCATTTTCCCTTCTTATTTTTTCCATCGTCAGCTTCCCAGGACCGTGTTGCCATAGGAGCCTCTGTTTGTTTTGGGTGGAGAAGTTGTTGTTGGCAGGTTGGGGGAGGAGCAATTAATTCTAATAGGTATATAGTACATTACATACTCGGGTCTTTCCCATCTTCTCTCTGTATTTCTGCGCCTCTGTGTAAATGCCCTTCTCTTCCCGGGGGACCCTTTCCCAGGGGACCCTGTGAGAACAGAACGGCAGCAGCTGGAAAGCCTGTCGGGGTGCTCGCAGTAGAAGGGTGGTGGGACCCCGAGAAGGTCACCTGAACCATTTCCCTCTTGCCCTCGGGACTTCCCTGGCGTTCCTGAGGCTCCACGCCTGGGGGGACGCTGGAGAGAGATCCGCATCATTTACTAATCCACCCGCACGTTTAAGTCATTCGTGTGACAAGGCAGCAGCTCCTTCTAACTCCCGTTAATCCTCCGTCTGCAGCCTCTATAAGTGGGGGAGTCTCTCAGGTGGGCCTTCTTATAGACAGTTGCCGGACAAAGAAGGGAGATGCAGGTGGTTGTACTCTGAGTCCCACTGCCTGGTGGCCGTGAGGGACCCGAATCCCGATCGCGGAGCCCAGGAAGCGGCGTGAGTGTCAGAGACAGAGGCTCCTCTTGGAACCTCTGCCCGCGGTCCCAGCGGGGCCGCCCTGAAAACAGAAGTCGCTTCCACTCCCTGCTCCCCACGGGCCGCTGCGCAGCTGCGCGGTGGGGCTCCGCCCACAAGTAGCCACTTTCAGGGATCGGCAAACAGGCACACGCCTGGGATGGTGCTCAGGTGGCCTCGGGACCCCACAGGATAAACCGAAACACTGAAGTAATATCTTGGATGAGCTCGGTCTGATGTAACTCAGTTGCTGAAAATTATTTAGTGTATCCCCCCCCCCTTTTTTCGAGTCTAGTGATCTGTCTCATCAACGCAGAGCAAAATAGGGCACAGTCCTTCCATCTGACATTTAAGGAGGGTGGGGGAGAGAGAGGGCCTTGAACACGTAGTCAGAAAGGTGGCCTCGGAACTCAGGAGTCTATTGACCGTCTTGTGGCCCCAAGACTCTGACCACAAGATGTTTCCTGCGGCCGTGCATGTGGGCACTGCTCAGGATGGGGACAGCCAGTGTGACTGAGGGGTGGGCTGGCGGCCGAGCCCGCCAGGATGCTGGGGGCCCGTTTCTCTCCAGGGTGGTTCTAGAGGAAGAATGCTTTGGGCTGAGGAGCTACTTTTTAACCGCTTGTTGCTATTCTTATCATACATCCCTTTTGGGGTGAAACACTCCATTAACTCTGGTTTGGCCTGGGCCCCTTTCCCATGTTGGTCCCTGTGAACTTGCGGCGGTAGGAGAAGTGGATGGAAACAGCTTAGCTTTCTCTGCCGCCCTGTGTCTGGCTGCCGGGCACAGGTGCTTGTGCACGCGGACTAGCTCTGTCCCAGCCCTGGTGTCCCAGCCCCGGGCCACGGCACACCGGGCACATGTCATTAGAGTCTCCACGGCACTGCAGGACCACGAGGGTCCCTCGGGACAAGTACCAGGAGAAGGGTGGACAGGCACCAAAATGTCAAGATCCGTGGCTTCTAGTCCCGAGCTCTGCTCAGCCCCAGCTGTGTGACCCAAGGCCATTCCCGTCGTCTCTCCGAATCTCCGCTTCCTCACTGAACACACAGGACTCCGAAGCCAACCCTGCCTGATGCACAGGTTTCCTCCTGGTGACCAAGGGTTAAATGTGTGAAGCTGCCCTGGCCGGTGTGACTTAGCGGTTGGAGCGTCGTCCTGTGCATTGAAGGGTCACGGATCAGGTCAGGGCACATGCCCAGGATGTAGGTTTGAGCCCTGGTCGGGGCAGGTATGGAAGGCAAGCAATTGATGTGTCTCTCTCACATCAATGTTTCTCTCTCTCTCTCTCTAAAAATCTATGAAAACATATGCCCTGGCAAGGATTTAAAAATCAAATGATAAAGAAAATGCGTGAAGCTGTTTTGTAACCCGATATAAGGTCCTATTATTACAAGAACATGAAACAGGCCCTGGCTAGTGAGGCCCAGTTGAGTGTTGCCCCATGTGCCAGAAGGTCCCTGGTTCGACTTCCAGGTCGCATGCCCAGGTAGCCGGCGGGAGGCAGCCCATCGATGTTTCTTCTCATTTCCATGTTTCTATCCCTCGCCCTCTCCCTTTCTCTCTCTCTCAAAAAACCCCAAAAAACAAAAAAAAATCAATAAAAACATATTTAAAATAAAAAAGAACATGCCCCAGTTCATCGAGGAGTTCAGGCGCTACGGGCGAGATCCGGTCATTCCTGAGGCCTGACGGTCTGGACCCTCAGCTTCTCGAGGACGCGAGGTCAACCGCGTCGTGCCTCTCGGGTGCTCTCTCCTGATCCCGCCCGAGTTCTGCAGACTCTGGCGGGGGGAGCGGGGGAGGGGTGAAGCTGGACTCGGACACTGAGCTCCCTCCTCCTTGTTAGCCTTTCCAGGCAGATGGCTGGTGCGACACCATCAACAACCGGGCCTACTGTCACTATGACGGCGGTGACTGCTGCTCGTCCACGCTGTCCTCCAGAAAGGTGAGTGCGGGCGGGGGGCGGGGGAGGGGGGGCTGAGGCTGGCTCCCGGCTCTGGCAGGGTTGTTTGCGTTCAACAGCCCAGAAGAGGACACACCGATGAACACACCTTGGGGTTCTAACGTGACAGGATTCAGGGTAGTGCTTTTTAGGAGAGATTCTTCAAAAAAGATGGATTCTCCAATGGTCCGTGCAGTGACTCCTTCAGAAAAACCATGGCTTTTACTATAGAAAGACACACCTGCTGCCTGGCTGGTGTGGCTCAATGGTTGAGCGTCGACCCAGGCACCAAGAGGTCGCGGGTTCAGTTTCTAGTCAGGGCCCAGGCCCAGGCTGTGGGCCCGATCCCCAGCAGGGGGCATGCAGGAGGCGGCCAGTCGATGTTCTCTCTCATCGATGTTTCTCTCTCTCTCTCCCTCTTTCTTCCTCTCTTTCTAAAAATCGATTAAAAAAAAAAAAAAATGGAAGACACACCTCCTTACCATCCAGGAAACATCTCTGTGGGCAGGGCATAATGGCCTCCAACCCCCAGGGAGGCAGGAAGTAATATCCAGCTGTTAATCTTCCTAATTCATGTAATAGCCCATAAAGCGCACGTGGCCCCCACAAGCCCCAGGCACTGTCTCCTGAGCAGTCAGTGGTCTCTTTCTTGGGGCCTTTAATTCCTGTTGCTCTGGGTTCTGTTAAATGAGCAGGTACACGTAAGCTAAGCCTGTGAAATTCAATAGGCTGAAATGTTGCAATAATGTGGATAAAAAAAGCCAAGCCCTCCAAAAATGTTTGATGCTCGTTGGCCAATGCGATGAATCAGAAATATGCAAGAGATGGTATTTCTGCCCAGTGTGCTTGGCCTGTGAGAACACAGCTATTTTTATCTCTCTGATTGTCCGGGCCCAAAGGGTGGAATCTCCGCCGCTCTCCATCACGTGGCCCGAACGCCCCCGTCTCTCCGAAGCCAGACAGCGCCAGAGTGTCTGTCGATAGCAGTGACACAGCGCAGACTTTTCGGGGCCATCTCTGGTGCGAAGGAGAGAGAGGGACATAGGAAGGCAGTCCTCTCACAAGCAGTGGGCAGGGAGAGGCATTGTTCCACCGGGCCAAGGTGCACCCTTGGTCCAAGAAAGGTGACACCTCGTGCCTGTTAAGACGGGGAAGACGATCCTGTGGCCCCGAAGCACATCAGGGCATCGACGCCCCAGAGCTGGGTGGTGGAGCCTTGGTTTTCCAGACGGTGTGTCGTGGCCTTGAGTTACGTCACCAGACCTCTCTGGCCTTCTCTGTGGAAAGCAAACAGCGACATTCACTCATCTTCCCCACCGGACAGGGACTGTGTGAGGTCCTAGTGCGGCCCAGCTATGAGCAGCAGTCAGTGTAGACGTCGGTGGTCATGCAGGAGGAGGAGTGAGGAGAGTGATGCGCACGCACCCTCTGGGGCAGCTGCTGCTGTCCTCCCACCTCACCCTCTCCTTGCCCCCTAGGTCATCCCATTTGCTGCTGACTGTGACCAGGATGAATGCACCTGCCGAGACCCCAAGGCAGAAGAGAACCAGTAACTGCGGGTGCGCCCCGGAGGCCGGAGGAAGTGAGCGGCGGGTGACGGGAGGCTCCCGACGTGCGGAGCCCAGCAGGAGGGCAGGAAGGTGTTGCGAGGGAGAGCCCGAGGCCAGGGTTCCCCCAGAGAGACAGCTGGTTACAAGTAGAGGAGAAATACGATGTGTGTACAAGGACCCGCCCCCCACTTCGCCCTGTCCAACTCCACCCCCCACTCCTGCCTACTCCCCACTAGGAGCCCTGCCCGCTCCTGGGCCCGCCCGACTTGTACACCCGAGCACTGTCTCCACACCCGGTTCGAGTGAACTGCCACCTTCAGGACGCGTCCGCCCTAACCTGGCTGCCTCCCCGTCTTCTGTGTAGTCTCCCGTAGTCGTGACGAGGTTAGTTATTCTTTATAAGTATTTAAACATAATTATATAAATATATGATATATATATATATATTATATTTTTTGCTGTCTACCAAGCTAAAAACTACCCATGGTTCCACACATGCTGCTGTGAAGTTCACGTCCCAAATAAACGCCGAGGGTTCGAGGGCAGAAAGACCAGTCCTGCTACCATCTTTGTGTCGGTGGGGTTGGCGGCCGACAGGAAAGGGAGGGGAGAGGGGGTCGGGTGATGGTGTTCTCCAAGCCAGTGTGTCTGCTGAGCATCTCTTACGAGCTGGGGGCTGGGCCCACTGTGGAGAGACGGGGACGGGACAACGATGCTTAGCGGTGTGGAAAGTTGGGTGGGAGTCCCCACTGGTGACGGGTCCAGGAGAACTGGACCATGGTTCCTGAGCAGCCATCTAAAAAGAGTAGATTGACTTCTCCACACTCCTCAGAAGTCCCTGTGGGCGCCGGGGGGACTGGGCTTTTCTACGCCTCTGTACGCGCTGTTCCAAGTGTGGCGCCCCGCCAGCCAGTCCCTCGGCAAGTCTGTGCCGGGGCTCCTCTCTGATCCCCAGGATTATAGCCGCTCACACAGCCCTCCTCCTTGGCCTCCGGGCTCCCTCCTTCTGAGTCCCCAAGCCTGGCCATCGTTCATGGCCACATGACCGGGCCGACTTTCCTTCCGGGAAGAACGTGTCATGGAAATGACAGGGGAACGGCGGGAGGGGTTGGGGGAGCAGGAGAGGGGAGCAGAGGGAAGCCATAGAGGAGAGAGAGGTGGGGGCGAGCAGGGTCCAGGATGGGGACGAAATGCATCGAGGAGACGCTGGCGTTCCGGGCACCAGAGCTGACCAGGGGCCCTTGGAATGACGCAGAATCGGAGGTAAACTCCATTCGGTGCCGCGTCGAATCTGGCCCAGAGGGGTGCAGTTGAACGAGTCACAGAGACACGTGGAGCGAGGGTGACACTCTGTGGGAGAGAGAAGAATTTCAACTATGTCGGGTCCATCTTGTTATCCTTCGAGGTTCGGTAGAGGGGCCGCACCTGCCTGACCACATGCACCCGCCTCGCTCCGTCCCAGGCTCGCTCTTTCCACACGCGGGGTATTGCGTCTGTGCCCCTTGGTGGCACCGTCTGGATTAGGCCCCGGGAATGAGGAAGGAGCTCCTTTCGGGTTGGACAGCCCAGGTGACCCCTCGGGGAGGGCCGGAAGCACGCCTCCCTCGCAGCCGCTTGGCTCTCCCATCGACACCGAATCAACGCCTTGCAAACGAGCAAATAGGACCCCCACCCGCTTGGCCACACTCCATGGGAGGAGGAGTGCCCTGGGTGGAGGGAGAGGACCTGGGACGCCGGTGGCTGGGGCACTGGGACAGGAGGAGCCGTCCGTCTGTCCACCCCAGCGGCGCCCGTCCCCTGCTCCCAGCCGGGGGCGTGATGGGCTGCGAGCGCTCGCTGTCGGGTTCGCATGTAGCGCCCCAAGAAGAGAATAAATATTTATTTCTGGGATTCTGGGAGGCTTCCATATGGAAAGGACAATGGAAAAGTTTAGATTCTCCATTAAAAAAAAAAAAAGTGTGAAATTGTTTCCTTGGGGAGACTTGGAATTCCTGGAAGGGTGTCCGGTTGTGCCGGGACCTGCCTCGTCTGGGGAGGAGGCGGGAGGAGGGGTGCCCGGCCTGGCCTGGCCGCGGTTTGTGCCCGGTGGGTCTGTGCTCAGGGTCCCCGCAGGGGTGGCAGGGAGAACACGTCTCTGTCCTGCTTCCCGGAGAGACGTGGGTTTCGGTTGGCGACACCGGCTCCACCTCTGCCTCTGGACGGCGGCAGTTCTGTGGTGGCTGGAAGCCCCTCGGCCTGAAGGCCACTCAGAGACGCAGGTTCCCTCAGCCCTGGGCCCGGGACCTCGCGTCCGGGCTCCTCCAGTCACAATCAGGTTGAAGGATTTGGGGATGAGCTCACCCTCGCTCCTGGTGACGGCGTCGGTGGCTCTTACCCACCCATGGGGTCACAGGGCGGCCTCTCCCAGGCCCCCTCCCGCCTGTTTCTTTGTTTCCAAATCAGTCCTCAGCTTCGTCGTGTCCCGGGACCTAGGCGCTGCAGTGCCCAGGTTGCCCAGGCCGGGCCGAGGGTGCTGATGGTGGGGCAGCCTCCAGCCAGAGAGCAGAGGACGGACAGAGCCCAGGTTGCCCAGGCCGGGCCGAGGGTGCTGATGGTGGGGCAGCCTCCAGCCAGAGAGCAGAGGACAGACAGTGCCCAGGTTGCCCAGGCCGGGCTGAGGGTGCTGATGGTGGGGCAGCCTCCAGCCAGAGAGCAGAGGACGGACAGTGCCCAGGTTGCCCAGGCGGGCTGAGGGTGCTGATGGTGGGACAGCCTCCAGCCAGAGAGCAGAGGACGGACAGTGCCCAGGTTGCCCAGGTGGGCTGAGGGTGCTGATGGTGGGACAGCCTCCAGCCAGAGAGCAGAGGACGGACAGTGCCCAGGTTGCCCAGGCCGGGCTGAGGGTGCTGATGGTGGGGCAGCCTCCAGCCAGAGAGCAGAGGACGGACAGTGCCCAGGTTGCCCAGGCGGGCTGAGGGTGCTGATGGTGGGACAGCCTCCAGCCAGAGAGCAGAGGACGGACAGTGCCCAGGTTGCCCAGGTGGGCTGAGGGTGCTGATGGTGGGACAGCCTCCAGCCAGAGAGCAGAGGACGGACAGTGCCCAGGTTGCCCAGGCCGGGCTGAGGGTGCTGATGGTGGGGCAGCCTCCAGCCAGAGAGCAGAGGACGGACAGTGCCCAGGTTGCCCAGGCCGGGCCGAGGGTGCTGATGGTGGGACAGCCTCCAGCCAGAGAGCAGAGGACGGAGAGGAGGACGGGCAGCCGGCCAATGTACGTGAAGAAGCTGCTCTTGGGTCTCTCCTTCCCCTCTGCCTGTGACAAGCCGCTGGACTTGACGCCTGCTACCTGTGGCATCGCCAGCGAGGGGCCAGCTCGTGCCCGAGGACGGCTTGACTGGGCACACGGTGGAAGGAGCTGACCGGCCGAGGTCACAGAACACAGCTGCAGCCCGTGTGCTGCAAGACCGTGAGACGTTTACCAAAACACGAGCACGCAACAGCAAGGTGGCCCGGGTGTCTCCTCTGCTTAAATCATTCCGTCACTTCCAAATCGCTTCCCGTTTTCTCACGCCAGGTGCGAGCGTCCGTGGCCGGTTGACCAGTCCTTTCAGTCACTGGGACACGATGACGTCCGGGTGCGTGGGAGGAAGAGAAGCAGGAGAGACCGTTAGAAGAGATGAGGCACAAACGCAGAGGTCACGAGCTGGAGAGATAGTGTGAGCACCCTTTCTGGTCCAAGGAGTCAGCCTCGCTCCCAGAGGCCGCGCTCGGCAGCACCTGAAGGATGGTCCGTGCAGGGTGCCCAGGATCTTCCAGGCAGACAAGGGGAAGGGGAGAGAAGAGTCCAGACTCAGGGAAGGGCAGGTTGGGGACATGGCTGTAGGATGGGAAAGGCTGGCGGCACTGGACATGGGTGGACTGAGCTGGAAGCCGGCTGACACGTGCGGTGTCAGCAAACCCCGTCTTGTTTATCCTCACGACAGACCTGCGACTTCCGGATTCTCATTCCACAGGTGAGAACACTAAGCGTCAGTCTGGTGCAGAGAGTTCCTTCAGGTCCCACAACCGGACCGTGGTCCAGGGCTGGTTCTGTGAGATGCCAAGATGTGAGAAGGGACAGCAGGGTGGCGGGTGACAGGCCAGGTACAGGGGAGGGCCGGAGAGAAATGTCAGACCTGCCTCCGCTTCTGGCTCCCAGGCCCCTCAGGTTGTCACCACTGCCGCGAGGACGCCGGGAGGGACAAGCCTTTGAAGAGAGCGCCTGTGTTTGCTTTCTGATAACATCAGCTTGTGGGCCAGACAGTAGTTGGAAGTTCCCTATACAGCAGTGCTGAGCACACTGGTTTTGAGGCTGGGGGCAGCATGCCAAGGTCTCTGCCATGGCCGCACCGCCTGGCTGCCCGAGGGCTGGGGGTGACCTCAGCACACCTGTGAGCCGTTTGGGGAGGACTAGGGACTAGGTAGCTGAGAGTGTGCACTTGGGGCTCGGAAGAGAGTCGTTGGACTCGAAATCAACATTGGAGAGTGAAGGAGTATCACCTGGCATTGTCTTACGGTTTGCAAAGTGCTTTCTTATGCTTCGTTGCTCCCCATGGGTGAGGCAGAACAAGAACGGGTTTGTGTTCATATGCCTCGCAGATGGCCATACCGAGTGATGGAGAGGGGACTGAACATTTTAAGTTCATGCGGTCAAGGACAGGTTGGGATGGGAATCCCGGTTTTCTGTCCCCCGTGTAACGTATAATACACTTTCCACCGCGTGATGTTCCACCCATGAGGCCAGAGGGAACCCAGACCTACTGAGATGGGAAAGGGACAGGTCTGCGCACCTGTCTGTGCCTCGAGGTGCTCACTGGCTTCCTTGTGGCTTTCTTGGCACCAGAGGGTAGGAAAGCCGAGGGCAAGCCTCCTGGAGCCCCCCAGACCCCCTGCTCCTGCCATCAGGGGGTGCAAGCCAGCGCCTCTTCAAGTGCCACTTCGACCAGCTGGCCCCAGCCACCTGGCAAAGCCGCCGCTGCTTCCCCAG